GGGGGGGGGGGCGGGACCTCCAAACCGCCGACCGAGCACACCCACGAAGGCACCCTCGAGCCACGGTGCAAGGGGCGTCACGCCGCACGCACTCGCCCATTCGACGCACCCGGAGGCGTCCGAGTGAAACGCCCGGGCCGGCGAAGGGAGCCCCAATTTTTCCGCCCGCCGCTCTGGCACCCAGGACAGTCGCCGCTCAACGCCCCTCCCCCCCCCCCGGAGCACGCCACACGAACTGCCTGGCACGCCCGCCTAGACGCGCCGGAGGGCACATGCGCCGGACAGGACACGACGGCCGGAGGGACAGGACATTGGTACGCCTTCCCGGACAAGACCCGACTACACGACACGAAAGACCGATCACACCGGGCGTTGGAGGTCCTCAGAAGCGGACGAACTCCTCTCCCCCCGCCTCCATCTCCCGGTCTGCCCGCCGCCCTGGAGGTGCGGCCCAGGAGGGAGAGTCACCGCCCCAGAGAGGTCCAAAACGCCCGGGCGCCTGACCTGCTGCGAGCGCAGGCGTGAGCGGCCTCTCCCCCCCCCCCCCCCCCCCCGAAGGGCGAGGCAACTCCTGGCGGCCGAACGGAGAATGCGGAGGGCCCCTTTTTTTTGGGGGGGGGCGGGGGGGGGGGCCGCCCAAGGCAGGCCCCCAGGCCTCGGGGCCGGGGCTGAGTGCCTGCCGGTCCAACCTGGGCGCGTGTCCTCAAGAGAGCGCGCATGCGCGCTCCCGGCGGCGCCCCCTTCCATACTTTGCCGTTGGGTCGGTCCTGCGTGAAAATGATGAGATTCCCAGAGACCCCTTTTCTTGTCGGGCAAAAGCGTGGCTGACATCCGCACCGGGGCCGGCGGCCGGAGCGTGAAAGTCCCCGCCCCCCCCCCCCCCCTGCACCCGGGCCCCGGGAGCAGCCCAGCCGCCCCATGCGCTCTTGCGTCCCGGGCGGCGGGGTGCGCCCGGCGCGTGGGTACTCGAGAGGGAGGGAGGCCGAGCCGCTGCCGATCGGGGGTAGGAAAGGGAGGGGCGGTTGCACGCGCGCGCGCCGCACCACCGCGGGGCTATTTGCCGGGCAGTCCCTCCGGAAGGCGAGACTGGAGGCATGAAAGTCCAATCCCAATCTGCG